AGTGTATGCCAGTGATTGTCCAGTGTATGCCAGTGATTGTCCAGCGTATGTCAGTGATTGTCCAGTCATTTCCATCTCATGGTGACAGTCTCACGGTGACCCCATGCGTGCCAACCCAATCCACAGGATTTTCAGTGATTGTTGTTTTGGAATTAGGTCACCTGGCCTTTCTTTTGAGGTGCATGTATGGACTTTACTGTCAGACCTCCTAGTTAACAGCCAAGCTCTTATCCCTTGCATCACCCAGGAATACCTTAATACAATGAACCTGAGAGAACATAATTGTTGGAGAATGAGTACAGGGGGTTCAGAATCTCTTTCCATTCTCTATATGTAGGGGTTCACATTTGTAATTGTGAAGGGTATAGTCAAGCAATTAATGAGTATCAAGCTGGGAAATCAATCAATCAACAGGCCGATTTTAGATAATTAAGAATGTTTAAAACTGAATTTATCATATGGAGGAAATGGATATGTGTTAAGCTCCTGCTTAGCTCTTCATTATTTGGAAATGTTCCTCCTTCCAAGTTGTAGATCAGTTAGCTGCCCAATTTCAAGTGTAATTACTTATGATAATTTAAAATAGAACAAATAGAAAATTGGAAAAATAAAAGTTGGATCCTTTAATTTTATGTTTCCTTAGATTACATCTTAAAAATACATTTGTTTTGCATATAGATATGGGTGAAATTGCAACTGGTGCACATAGTTTCTATATTTTAGATGCTTGTTTTTGTATTTGTATCACACTTGCATGGTTGTTATATCCATTTAAAGGAATCAATATAAAATTAAAGAACTTTGAATTGGAGATTTATCAGTTAGAACTTACAGGTCATTCGAATATCACCATCTTATTTTATAGATGAGAGTCCAGGTATGGCATTGTAAGAGAAACACTAGACTGCTAACCACAAAGTCAGCAGTTCAAACCCATCAGTCACTCCGAAGAAATCCTATACAGGATTGCTGAGTCCAAACCAGCTCAACAGCAATATTTTATAGATGGAGAAGCTTGGTTAAATCAAGTACCTGGACCAGGATTGAAAAACACATTAGTGACACTCAGTTGAAGTAATTTTTCTCGCTGAGAAAACTATGAAAACAAATTGCTGTTACTGTTAAGTACCGTGCAGTTGGCATTGAATCATAGCAACCCTGTATAGAGTTTCTGTGGCTTTAAATCTTTAAGGGAGCAGAAAGCCTCGTTTTTCTCCCCCAGAGCAGCCAGCAGGTTTGAACCGAGCATCTTGTGGTGTACAGTCCAGTGCTTATTGTATGGAGCTATCACGCTCCCATAAAATTTCATAGATATGCTTAGAATGCAGCATTTTTCATTCTTACCATCTGGGACATATGCACATATACTGAAGATTTACTATGAGCTGATAATCAATGCAACTGGATGATACATGGCATTTCATTATTTACATATCTGAAACGGACCCTGGTGTGGTGCTTAGGATCAGTTCAAACCCACCAACTGCTCCTTGGAAACGCTATACAGGGTCGCTATAAGCCAGAACCGACTCAACGACACTTAATTTTGAAATGGTCTGTTCTAAAAGGTGTAAAAGAGAAAATGGTTTGACCAATAGATGGCACTGCATTGTCACCTTGGAAGCATGTTGTTCGATGGTGGATTGAATGTTTTAGCTTATCAATTTAAGATATTCTGCTATTTTATTAGATGCTTTTATAAAAATTAAAAGTTTTTTTCTTTTTATAAGAGTAACTTTTACTTTAATATATTTATTAGATTTGTTCAGGTGCTACACAATTAGGTCATAAATGTCTGATCTGGTGATGTTATTGTTGTCAAATATGGTTGCATAGGTTGTGACTCATAGCACACCCTCTATAGGGTTTCCAAAGAGTAGCTGGTGGGTTTGAACTACTAACTTTGAGGTTAGCAGTCTAGTGCTTATTCTGCATTGCCTCACCAGGACTGCAATGTATTGACAGAATTTGGAAAAAACACTTTTGAATACACTATTTTTGTGTTAAAATATTCTTTTATGTATTAAATATTAGATTCTCCATAAAATCATAATGTACAAATAAGGCTAATGGCAAAACTAAATTTCTAAGTATATTCAGTACTAATGTACAGAAAAATGAAGCTCTTATTAATATGTGTTTCATTGTCAAAGAGTGTCAATTAAAAGCTGTTTGGTTTCTGAATACTAGGTAAGCGCAACAAAGTTTTTTTAAGATACATGGAATATAGTGATCGACAGTAAATGCAACAGTATTTTAGTTTAATAATAAATGTAATTTTATCTTTTGGGTCGGGGTAAGTGGGTGACAAAAATGTGTAGGAATGTAAGTCTCTGAAGCATGTATCAGGCTCTGTTGGTGTGTTATGCTCCACAATAAGCAGTACAAAGTGTCTGTATGAAAAGTCAATAGTTATTTCTACCCAGCGTGCTTTCTAAACCGTAACCTAAGTGTGTCGGCAATGTTGCTTTCCTGTTAGATTGAGTGTCTTATGTCATGGTATAAATATCCATCATTCCACTGGCTGTGCATCTCTGTCAACTTTAGTATCTCTCTTGATTGCCTCTGTCTTGATATGTGGCCATTCAAGTTCATTTCTTATCTATTGTCTTAATCCAAAATCTGAGCGTTAATTTTTTTTTTTTTTAAAGTGCTTCCATAAAAGAATTGTCCATCCAGTTACATATGTACAAAGACCAGGGAACGGCCATACGTGAAGTAAATGCAGCCTTGTTCACCCAAGGATCTATACATTCTGTGTTCCTCCTTTTCCAGGGAAAAAGCATTTTAATTTGTTTTAAGTTAGGCCTCTCTGCACAGCCCTCTTTTGTCCACCAACCACACAAGGCTGGGCACTTCACAAGTTATGATTCTGCCCTTTGAATCAACTGCCAAATAGGCAGATTCTGGCCTTCACTGCCCCAATGTATTCACTAATGTGCGAACATGACTTCCAGAATACATGCAATGGGGTATACTCACTAACTTTGAAAAAATAAAATCACAGAAAGGCTGTGCTCAAAGAGATGAGGTGAGGTCTGGGAGTAGTTTTCTACACTGGAAGCTTGTCTTTAGAGACATTTTGGCCCCCTCCTGTGCATCATCAGAGTCCTGGTGTGGTGCTGCAGGATAATGTGCTGGACTGCAAGATGGGCTGATCAAACACCAGCCACTCCTTGGAAACCCTATACAGGGTTACTGTGAGTCGAAACTGACTCGATGGTACTTGTCACCAACTTAACGCCATGTGCATCATCAGTCTAGAAGCTTAAAAGGACTCTCCAAAGTCTGGAGTACTTTATAACAGTTATTGGGGCCTCAGTGTGTATGCATGGAATGGGCCTTAATGCATAGTCAGTGACGGATTAGATCACTGAATATACATGGCTTTCTATCATGCTCCTCTCCCCACCTCACCCTACCCTACCATTATTCCTTCCCAAAGCTAGTTAGCCAGATGTAATCCTTGGACTACCCCTGTTGCCCAGCTGTTTTAAAGAACACAATCTCCTAGGACTGCAGGGCCAAACAGAGATCTTTATCTCGTAATGTATGTCAAAGAGTTATTGTTTTTGAGAGAAGAGGGAAAAGAAAGAGTGTGGAAGCAGGATGGAGGAGTGAGGAGAGCACAGCAGCTCCAGACCAGTGGAGTGGACGGTGTGGACACAAAGCCAGCAGCCTCTGGAGAGGGATGCAGGAGTGCTGTTTTCTCTCAGGGTAGACAGAGTTCCAGGACATAGGCGATTTTGCTCTTGGTGGCAGTGAGTAATTTAAGTAATTTCGCCTTAGAAAAATTTACAGGAATGTTACTCAGTTTATCTGGAGAAAATATCAGGTATGATGTAGTCCACCAGGAGCTAATTTGATCCTTAATTTTTACTGGGCAACTCCTCAATTACAGGAATGGTTTGCAGTATATGTGGAGCTCAATCAACAGATTGCTGCACTCTTGAATGCTGGGGATGAAGAAGATCTTGTGGAATTGAAATCACTGCAGCAACAACTGAGTGATGTTTGTTATCGACAAGCCAGTCAGCTGGAATTTAGGCAAAATCTGTTACAAGCAGCTCTCGAATTTCATGGGGTCGCCCAAGATGTAAGTGTCTACTCTAATTGCTTTTCTTTTCTTCCAATGAGCTGAACACTTGTCTACACATAAATTTTGCATGCAGGTTTGCATGCCTCCTAATTATTTTTCTGAAACAATAAAATAATTTACAGGTGGGGAAAATGAAATCAGATTCTTTGATTATTCTTTAATTTTTATTTTGAAACCATTCTGCATGCAATTGAACCTTTTATTTTTCTAAATCATGTGTCTCAACTAGTAGGCGTATTTCAGATATTTCTGGTTAATCCTTTCTTAGATTGAAGTAGGGATTTCTATGTTTAATTTCTTACATTCTAACCTGGGGACACCCTATATTGTCTTCCTGGAGCATGCCTTTGCATATTCTGCCCACCAGCTAACATGTGTTTCTAATTCTCTGTCCTTGTCTTTTAACTACTAGTCTTTTCAAGTACAATTGTGATAACCTCATTAGCTATAAACCTCATTAATCATGAAACACTTTCGATGCTGATTACATCAGGGTTATCTCTTTTGGTGTCCCTCTGCTTTAGTTGTCTCAGCAGTTGGATGGCTTATTAGGGATGTTGTGCGTAGATGTAGCACCAGCTGATGGAGCATCGATTCAGCAAACTTTAAAACTGCTTGAAGAGAAGCTGAAAAGTGTTGGTAAGCAGATTTTAAAAATGCTGAAACATAAAGGTTTTTCTTTTTTTAAGTATCATTATTGTGGTTAGATAATTAAGTCAACTTAACTGAACTAATGAAAATTACTTACAAGGGAAAATAGTATAGAAGATATTAGTCCCTAGAGGGAAATGTAGTCTATGCTAAAACATTTATTTTTCATTGTTGGTTGGTCCCTCCTCCCTTTATTGGGCCTTTAGTTTTCCTTGTTTGCCCAGTTGCATGTCTTGCATATATTATGAACAGTTACTTGTAGTGCATGCATAAACTGTAATTTAGCTGTGTTCTGTGGTAAACCCTGTATGCCCCCAATGTGTTTTATGCAGTGATTTTTTTGTTGTTGCTATATCCTAACCTTGTGAATGAAGAGTTGGTTTGGTTCTGTGCATTTGTCTCTCCAAGGTTACATGCTCTCCAAGTGGAGAATGGTCCAGTTCATCAAGCTAGTTCTGTCATTTGACAGCAAAATCTTTCACATTTTTCTGGAGTAGGGAATTCAGTGAACTTCTCTAGATCACAACTGGAAAGATTGATTTGCTGTTGTTAGGTGCTGTCCAGCCGGTTCCGACTTGTACCAACCAACCCTGAGCACAACAGATCGAAACACTGCCCAGTCCTGCACCATCCTGACAGCTGCTAACCTTGAGCCTATTTCTGCTGCCACTGTGTCAACCCATCTCATTGGGGATTTTCCTTTTTTTCGCCGACCCTCCACTTTACCAAGCATGATGTTCTTCTCCAGGGACTGGTCCCTCCTGATAATTTGTCTGAAGTATGAAACACAAAGTTTTGCCATCCTGGCTTGTCAGGAGTATTCTGGCTGTACTTCTTCCAACACAGATTTGTTTGTTCTTAAATCATATAAGTGTCAGATTCAAAGTGGCTAATACAAGTACATTTCAGCTTATAATGCCTAGGATATTGATCTTTATGTGTGCCATTTCATTTTTGACAACTTATAATTTTCCTACATTCATATTTTCTGCATTTCATGTTCCGATTATTGATAGATGTTTACAGCCATTTCTTCTCATTTTGAGTTGTACCCCATCAGTAAATGAAGCATGATGTCATTCTGTGACCATTACCTGGAGAAAGACATCAAGCTTTACTCCATATGTCATCACAGTCAACTCAACTTTGAGGAGGCAGCTCTTCCTCGGTTGTATTTTGAGTGCCTTCCAACCTGAGGGGCTCATCCTTCAGCACTACATCTGACAGTATTCTGGTGCTCTTCATCTTGTTTCAACGTTCAATATTCTAGTGCTGTCTGTCACTGTTTCCCTGTTATTCATATGGTTTTCATTGGCAAAGCATTCAGAAACAATCTGCCTTTCCTTCTTCCTAGTCTGTCTTAGTCAGGAAGTTTAGCTGAAATCTGTCTATCATGGGTATACCCTGATGGTGCTTAAAATACGGTGTCATAGCTTTCAGATCACAACACACAAGCCACCACAGTGTGACTAACTGACAAACAACTGATGTGGAGAGATTGATAGTGGATGTGAAAATGGGGAAGGAGCTTGTATTGAGAGAAGGGGGGAAGGGCAAGGTGAGGTGGAGAAGTTGTTGTTGTTGTTGTTGTTAGGTGCCATCGAGTTAGTGCCGACTCATAGCGACCTTATGCACTGCAGAACGAAACACTGCCCAATCCTGGGCTAACCTCACTACTGTTGCCACGCTTGAGTCCATCGATCCTGCCACTTGGACAATCCATCTCATTGGGGGTCTTCCTCTTTTTTCTCTGACCCCTCCATCTTACCAAACATGATACCCTTCTCCAGTGACTGGTCCCTCCTGACAATATGTCCGAATTATGAGAGACAAAGTTTGGCCATCTTGGCCTCCATGGAGCACTCTGGCTGCACTTCTTCCAAAACGGATCTATAGGTTCTTTTGGCAGCCCATGGCACTTTCAATGTTCTCCTCCAACACCATAACTGAAAAGCATCAATTCTTGTACGGTCTTCCTTATTCACTGTCTAGCTTTCTCATGCATATGAGCTTATTGAAAATACCATGGCTTGGGTCAAGCTGACATCTTTGCTCATCCAACACTTTAAAAAGGTCTTGTGCAGCAGATTTGCTTAATGCAATACGTTGTCTGATTTCTTGACTGCTGCTTTCGTGAGTGTTGATAGTTGATCCAAGAAGAATGAAGTCCTTGACAGCTTCAATCTTTTCTCCACTGATAAGAATGTTGTTTATTGGTCCAGTGGTGAAGATTTTTGTTTTCTTTACATTGAGATGTAATCATACTGAAGACTGTGCTCTTTAATCTTCATCAGTAAATGTTTTAAATCCACTTTACTTTCAGCAAGCATTGTTGTATCACCTGCATATTGTAGGTTGTTAATGAGTCTTCCTTCAATCCTGATGCCACGTTTATCTTCATATAAGCCAGCTTCTCGGATGATTTTCTCAGCATACAGGTTGAATAAGTGTGGTGAAAGAATGCAACCTTTTCGCACACATTTTTAAATTTTCAACCATTAAGCAGCAATTTAAGGCAGAGAGTAGCAAGTGGCATTCTGTGATTGAGTTAAATTAATTACTGAAAAGGACCTTTGGGAATTGGTTTGAAAAATCACATTTGATTTAGCATTTACACGTGACTGACACTTTTGTGTTTTAACAGATACTATGCATAATACGTGTATATGATATTTAATATACCAAGTGAAACTTATTTTTAAACATCAGAAGTTTTCTTGAGTCACATTTTTCCTTGAAAAATAATGAAGAATTCCTGTGTGTGTGTGTGTGTATATATACATATAAAATTTAAAGTATTGTAAACATATACCCTATATATTATTGTTTCCTATGGTATATATAAGGAGCTCTGGTAGCGTAGTGGTTACGAATCGGGCTGCGAACCGGAAGGTCAGCAGTTTGAAACTACCAGCTGCTCCGCGGGAGAAAGATGAGGCGATCTGCTCACGTAAAGATGTACAGCCTCGGAAACCCTATTCAGGGTTGCTATGGGTCGAAACCGACCCGATGGCACTTAACAACAACAACGACATGGTATATATAACGTTGGGCTGCCTAGCTTAGGGTTAGCAGTTCAGAACTACTAGCAGTTCCATAGGAGAAAGATGAGGTTTTCTGCTCCCATAAAGATTTATAGCCTCGGAAATCCTGTGCAGGGTCACTATGAGTCAGAACCAACTCCATGGCTCATAACAACAACAACAACGGCATATAAGCTAGAACAGTACCAATAAATACTCAGATAGTCAGCACTCTGTTAACACTCATGGTACATTACATGAGCACTTTAAAATCGTGTAACTTTGGAACATTTTTCCTTATTTTACTTTCAAAGATATAGTGAATTAAGTAAGTACAAATTCTTCTAAAATTTGAAGATAAACACAGGATGGGATTTTTTTTGCTCAATAGCTTTAAAACTACCGTACATGACTCCAGTTGTTTGTTTTTTTGTTTTGTTTTTTCACTTTAAACAAAACATTTGCTTTGTTCTCCTAAAGCCTTTTTGAACTACATAAAAGCAGAGATGGGAAATGTTGAAAAGTCTTACCAGTTAAAATAGAAATTGTCACATTTTCTTCCTGCCTTCAGTTTTAAACATAATTATTATCTATGTAAATTTGTCTTTTGGAAATTCTTATCAGGAAGAAATTTGCCATGAGAGAGCTTTAACTTGAGCCACATTTAAAGGTAGTTTATTACCTAAAATGTTCAGAGGACTTCACCCTAAGACAGTTTAATATACAAAGCTGTTTTACTTGAAATCTAAGTACAGCATGTACTGAGAGAATTTATTTGAGGGAGGAAAAGCACCTTAATTGTGTAAGAGATTAAATCTAGTAACTTTTTTTTTTTTTAGATGTGGGATTGCAAGGATTACGTGAAAAAGGTCAAGGTCTTCTGGATCAGATCTCCAATCAGGCATCTTGGGCCTATGGAAAGGATGTAACCAT